GGTGAGAATAAAAACAGCCCGTGACATTTGTGGAGGGATTATGAATAATGTCATCAGCCTAGAATCTTTTTGGCTGAATCACAAGGATATTTTCACATGGATGGCTCACCAGGCTAGGCTAATGTAATAGCAGCTAGTGAAACAAAGCTAAAGGGGTGCTAAGGCTATGAAGAACTTTGACCCAAACTTTGTATAAATTAAACTTTTTTAATTTGAGTTAAGTATTTCTTGAAGTTATGTGGCTAGGTATTTGATGTAATCTGTCAGAGGACATTTTCTGTCGAAATATCTTTAAAAGAAAACATGCTCTTACCTAGAGTGACCATATTTCCATTTCCAAAAAAGAGGAGGGAGATCTGTGCCTACCGATGACGTCACACTAGGGCTGGGCGAAATGGCCTAAAATTAATATTACAATATATTGCGGATTTAACCTCCATAACATCGACATATAGACTCCATAACGATAAATGGGCGATAACTATAGGTGTGCACAGGAACAAAAGCTGTCCACTAGATGGGGCTGTCACATATATTACGCTGAGTCACATTTTTACGTGACTCAAGGTGGTACAGCTTCTTAAAGGGACATAACTTTGCCAACCTACACACATCTTTAAATTTTTTATTATCAAATTTATTGACATGGGAAAGATACATTTTCGATTTATTGCCTAGCCCTACGTCACACTATGGCAAAACCACACAGACCACGTTGGGACCCATTTATTTCCCCAGGTGGAAAATCTAAAATTAATATCAGACTCTGCCTACAAAAGGGCTCTAAAACCATTCACATGTAAATATTTAGCATATTTATTGCAAAATCTCCCTTTTCTGCTGCTTTAGTGCTGCATCAATGTTTCATTAATAAGACATTATTATACCTTTTGTTTACTACAGCATCAGTAAGCTTCCTGTGCACAGATTATTAAGGATGCTTGTTTCAGCTGTGAGATTAGGCGATCAGGTCAATGAAAAAAAAAGTTTGTCATGGACTCCATGGAAACTTTCAGAGAATCCATAAATAGTGGCTTTCAATCGGTGTTGTTACTGACAGATTTTTGTGAGTTTCGAAAAGAAGCAGATGAGATGGCATGTCTGACAATTTTGTTTTTCATCGGACAATATTAGAAGATGTCAGTGATGTCTGAGGTGTTTTTATAAAAACTGTATAATTAATACCCTGGACAGGGTAGGAATTACACAGAGGCTTCTGGGGGAACCCAGTGATGTGGGGTGGGGTGGGGGTGTTCCCTTTTGCCTTGGCCCCCAAAATGTCTTGAAACGGCCCTGGGTGTGTGACTGAGTTTTGAAGGTGATCTGAATTGTATCAGATGTATAAATATTACATGTGTATCACTTATTGCGTTATACAAGTAAAACGTGTAGTGGAGATAAATCTACCTACATTTTACTTTAAAACACTTTGCTTTGTTTTCTTGTTTTTATTTAACTATTGTCCTGTCCTGTCTGTCTCTCATCTTCCTGGATCTCCTCTAAACTCCCCAGAAAAACTGCTGCCTGGATTCTTACTTTTTCACCTCATCACTTACTTTTGAACAGATCAAAGGGATCTCCTGACGGCAAAGCGGAGAGCCGTTTCGATGCTGCGTCAGAGAGATAAAATCACTGCAGCACATGATGAGCGGAGCGCGTCAGGAACGATTAAAAGACAGAGTGCCAGAGGATATAAACAGATATGAACGATCATGTGTTAATGATAATGTTTTGTTGCGCTACCTTGAGAATGCATCGTGCGCCGGACGCAGCGGGCGCACCAACGATCAGCGCTCTGCATCCTCTCTGCTCAACAGAATCCGGCTACACTGAGAGTCCATAAATATTGTAATTTAGGCAGAAACTGGATCTTTCCCTGAAAGATCTCTAGCCCCCCATAATTCAATCCCTGCCCCAGAGGGAAAGAGGACGTATGGTCAGCCTATCTTCCAGGTAGCATTTCCAAGTCTGTGTGCATTTTGAAGTTCTCATGTTTCTATAGCTCTTTTTTCACCATTTAAATTCCCTCTTGCTGCTGGCTCAAAACTGTATGGGTGCACCTTTAGTATTATAAATAACTGTAAATTCCTGTTCAAATTCTGGCGCCTTGTCCTACTGCTGTGAATCCATTGTTGGTAGAGTCAGAAATGTTTTCCTCCGTGTGCGTCACTTCCGGTTTCCAGCTAGAGGCGCTGTTTTAAACCGGATAAACTTGGTAAGCAGAGCTGGATCATTAATAACTGGTTGTATTTTCAAATATCTTCCTTTAATTCAATGAAAATATAAAGTTTAGGCACATTACTATATAAGCACTTCAACATGTGTTTAAAATGAAAGATGGCCTTTAACTTTCACTAGAAAGGCAGATACCATTATGTTATAAGTGTCTAAACAAGATAATCAATGTTAAACATGGTGGAACCGAAGAGTGGAACGCAACCGCCGTGTGACCTGTTTTTCACAAAACTCATCTTTCTTCTGGCTTTATACTTATTTAGTTTAACACCATCAGCAGCATCGTCTCTCCTGCCTCTCCTACATCCTCCATCCACTCTGTTGCAGGCTGTGAGAACTTTCTGTCTTTCTTTGTGGACAAAGTCAATAAGGTTAGATCTAGCATCTCTCCTTCAGCCTTATCGCTGCCTCTCCCGACTCCAACCAGGCCCATCATCCTAGATAGCTTTGCTCCTGATTCTTTGCCTGAGTTAACCAAACTAGTTAACTCTATGAAGACCTCTGCATGCCCCCTCGACATCTTACCCTCATCTTTGTTTTAAAGTGCTTTTCAGTCCATCGGTCCCAGCGTGCTCTCTATAATTAATGCTTCTCTGGTTTCTGGTCAGGTCCCTGCTTACTTTAAGAACGCTGTAATCCACCCGCTTTTTAAAAAACCGAGTCTCGACCCCTCTCTCCATAGCAGCTTCAGACCCATCTCTAAACTTCCGTTCATCTCCAAGATCTTGGAAAAGGTTGTGGCTAAACAACTCACAGCTGCTCTTGATGAACATAACATCTATGATTGCTTCCAGTCAGGTTTTCGTAGAGCTCATTCTACTGAAACAGCTCTTCTTAGGGTCTCTAATGACCTTCTGACTCACAGTGATGCAGGGGACTGTTCTGTTCTGATCCTGCTGGACCTGACTGCAGCCTTTGACACTGTTGACCATCACCTGCTACTGGAGAGGCTCAGAGACTGGGTAGGCCTATCAGGAACTGCTCTGGAGTGGTTCTCCTCTTATCTTTCTGAGCGCTCCTTTTCTGTGGCCATCTCCAAGTTTAGGTCCTCCACCACCTCTCTTACCCATGGTGTCCCACAAGGTTCTGTGCTGGGGCATCTGCTCTTCCTCCTCTATCTGCTTCCTCTTCAGCACATCCTGAGCTTCTTCAAAGGAATCTCCTATCATCTTTATGTAGATGACATCCAACTGTACATCTCCTTTAAGCCCCATGAGATGTCTAAGCTGCAGCTGTTACACACCTGCTTAGACTCTATCAAAACCTGAATGGCTAGGAGCTTTCTTCAGCTGAATGAAGATAAGACTGAGATCCTCATCTGTGCCCCAGACAAGCTGGTTCCCAAAGTCAGAGACTCTCTTGGTCAGCTTGCTTCTCACACCAAACCTTCCGTCAGGAATCTTGGTGTGACCTTTGACCCAGCTCTCACCCTGGATTCTCATGTCAGTTCTCTTGTTCGCTCTTCCTTCTTCCATCTCAGGAACATTGCTAAGCTGAGTCCCATTCTGTCTCGCTCTGAACTTGAGACAGTTATCCACACCTTCATCTCCTCACACTTAGACTACTGTAACTCTCTTTTCACGTGTCAGAGCAGAACCTCCCTGAACCGTCTACAGGTGGTTCAGAATGCCTGTGCTCGGCTTCTGACCAAGTCCTCCAAACACACCCACATCACCCCGCTTCTCCTCCAGCTTCATTGGCTGCCAGTCAACTTCAGGGTTCATCTCAAGATCCTGGTTCTGGTCTATAGGGCCTTACATGGACAAGCACTATCTTACATTGGTGATCTTCTTAGTCCCTACACCCCCAGCAGGTCCCTGAGGTCCTGTGATCAAAGCCTACTGGTTGCGCAGCGCACTAGGCTGAAGACCAAAGGTGACAGATCATTTGCTGCTATGTTTATGTTTATGTATTTAGCAGACGCTTTTGTCCAAAGCGACTTACATGTGATAATCGGCATGTTGCCCTTGAGGCTAACAACAACAATAACAACAACAACTTGACATCAATCATAGAGAGGAGGGAACAAGGAGTGGACAGTAGAGAGGGGAGACGGGTGCAGGGAGGGTGCTAGTTAAGAAGATGCTCTCTGAAGATCAAGGTCTTCAGGAGTTTCTTGAAAATTGAAAAGGAAGCCGCTGTTCTGGTGGTGCTTGGAAGGTCATTCCACATTTGTGGAACGATGCATGAGAAAAGTCTGGATTGTCCTGAGCGTGGTGTAGGCACTGCTAGCCGATGATCCTGTGATGACCGGAGCGGCTGGGCCGAGACGTAAGCCTTTGCAAGAGGATTCAGGTAGATGGGAGCCGTACCATCTCTGCTGTGGCCCCCAGACTCTGGAACTCTCTCCCCCTGAGCCTGAGATCAGTGGACTCAGTGGACTCCTTTAAAAAGCAGCTAAAAACTCACCTGTTCAAAGTGGCTTTTGTATGACCTTCTTCACTATTCTCTCTTTATTCTGCTCTCCACACCTATTCCCCCTTCCTCAGGATCCACTGATTTCCCTCTTTCTTATTCACTCCCTCTCTTTCTTAACATTGTTTTTTAATCACAATTGTCTATTTTTTCAGATTTTTATCTTGAGAGGCGCTATAGAAATGATTTCTTCTTCTTCTTCTTCTTCTTCTTCTTAGTTTCTGCCTCTTGAATTTCTTCAACAAGTTTTGTGTGTTTTGAGATGCTTTTAGAGAAGCTGCATCCAAAGTAGTAGGTGGAGTTATTTCAGAGTATGACTTAAGAGATGAAGATAAGAGGAAGTCTGAGTGAACAGGAAGCGAGTTTCACCATCCAACCATCAGCCTTTTCCATTTCTGTCTATTTCTCTTTAAACAATCAGAAGATCAGCAACAGGAAGGCAAACTCAGGATGTTGATTTTTGATCAAAAGATTCTCTGTAGCTTCATGTTTCTGCTGACAGGTAAAACTCTTTTAATGTACGCAAAAATATTTGAGTAATTTCTGTGTTGAAGTCCCTAGAAAACAGGGTTTTAAAGTAAAAATTGTAACTTTCTAACATATGTTGTCACAAGATTCAACATTACTAGACAAATAAAAACATCCAACATATGAAACTTGTCAGCTAAAAGTGTTTTACTAATTTATTGATGTTTGTTTATAATTTATTTATAAGAAAATGATGCATAAATAGTAAAATACTGAAAGCTTTTGAATGACAAGCATTAAATAAATAATGAATTTAAAGGAAATTTTATTAAGCTGAGCTTTTCGGTGAAAGCTGATGATTTTCATTCTGCTTCATTGAGATGTAAACAAACGTCGATCTGTGTTTTTATTTTTATTTTTTCTGGCTCAGTAAGAACGTCTGAAACTATTTTTGTGTTCATCTATTTGGATTAAACCCCCCTAGTCTTTATCAGCAGGATAAACAACTGTTCGTTTTGACCTCGTTTTTCTGTAAATCTGAATTTTGTTGTGGAAACAAAGATGTGAAGATGTGTGAGTCATTCTAATCCTCCTTATTAACCAAGTCAGCCTGCAGCCAGCTACTCAGCAGACATTTCCTACAGAAAACAGCAGTAAAAAGTAGGACTTGTATGTTGTCTGATATGTAGAGAACAAAAGTCTTGACACAAAGCAAAGTAAAAGTGCCCATCTAAAAATACATTTACTTTAATGACTCAAAAGTCACGTTGGTTTAATCTGATCAGAGTTCAGCTGTCGAGGATGAAGTGCTGATTTTACATCTGTAGTCATCATCAATCATGTCTGGTTCCAGGTGTTGTGGGTCAAATGGTTCAATATGGATTTGTTTCCACCTGTGCAGTGAGAGGATCAACCGTCACCCTCCCCTGCTCTTTCACACCTTTAGCATCCTTTACAGAGGATGGAAAAGAAATTCCTCTGAAGATCGTCAGAGTCCGTTGGTGTGTAAACCATGAAATCTGTCAGACAACAACCCCATCTGTGTACGACAGCAACTCATCCAACAACAACCCTCGATATCAGTACCTGGGAGACATGAAGTCAAACTGTACTTTACAAGTCAGAGATGTTCAGATGATCGATAATGCAACCTTTCGCTTCAGGATGGAAGCTGATAATGTAAAAGGACATTTTACAAAACGAGGAGATGGAATAGACGTGAGAGTCGTTGGTGAGAACACGTTTCATCCTGACTCAGATATGAATCCGTTTTAATAAAAACTAATATTTAATTTTATTATAGAGACAACTAAAATGAGCATAAAGAGCTCCAGCAGCAACAGCACGTTCAGAAGGGGTCAAACTGTGTCACTGCAGTGCACCTCTGGAGACTGCACTGTCCACCAACTGGAGATCACCTGGATTAAAGATGGCCGTGCCCTCTCTGAGACTAGCCCCGCCCTCCTGCTTGGCCCTCTGACTCTAGAGGATTCTGGGAATTACTCCTGTGTTCTGAAGACCGACAACGAGACGCGGTCAGATCCGTTCAGGCTTCAGGTGGAGGCGGGTTGGTGTTAAAGGTTTCATTATTTCATATATTCAGAAAGGCTTTGTGTGTGTGTGTGTGTGCGTGCGTGCGTGCGTGCGTGCATGTGTGTGTGTGTGTGTGTTTAGTGACTGCACATATTTTAATGAAACTCTGTAACATAAATATTTTAACTATTTTACCCAACTTCAAACTCAAAATGTCTCCAGCTCATATTTTCTGCACACTGAATCAGAGATATCTCCTTAAAGTGTCAAAGGTTATACAGAACTTTGTTATTAATACATTTGACCAAAACAAATATAACTTGAAAAGTGTATTTGTATAGCACCTGCCAAGATAAAAATCACAAGGCTAGGCAAGAACAATAAAAAATAAATGAAACAAACAAACAAAAAGAAAAAAGAGAGACCGAAATGGACAGAAACACCTGCAAGAAAATAAACTAATGAGCAGCAGTGGATAAACAAGAGCTCACTAAAGTCAGACTGAAAAGATGAGTTTGAGCTGCTTTTTAATGGAGACCGTTGAAATGATCATGAGATAAGTACAGCTTTAAAAAGGAAATATTATGCAAATCTGAAAATTTGCACCATTTGTGCTGCAATAGAGCTCTCTACTGCCTCTATGAACACTCCAAACATAAAAATAAAAAGAAAATACTTTTAAATTATGAATTTTGTGTTTTTATCATAGGTACGCATGATCTAACTTGGCTCAGAAGTTGCCTGTCCTGTTAGCAGTGTGGTGCAAAGATTTGCATGCTTTTAAATGAGTGTTTTGATGTGGGGGCTTAAAGTTGACAGAGAAAGAAGGAGCGTGGCTGTATCCCCATTTTTACTGCCAGCAAATCAGAGGTTGTGGGGGCATGGCCAGCAGCAGCTGTAACCACAGACTTTATACATAGACACGACGTGGCAGGCCACCATCTTGGATGGGTCTCATCAGTGTATTTATTTCTACTGAGGAAGGTGTTTACCCAACTAAAAATCACATTTCATTACACCTTTTCACAAAATCAGACACATGGTGTGGTATGATAGTTAAAATATAAACATACTAAAATAAAATAAATGAAAATATTAAATCCCAACGGGTAAGCTAGAAAAGTCAATAGCGACAAGTCAGCAGTGAAACAGCTGTTGCAAATGTATAGCCGCACAAAAAATGGGCATAGTTGCTAACTCTGCTTAAACTCCAGTTGGGTTTAGGGACCCGTCCAATTTGGTGGCGATGCTGTAACATTAAATGGCATGTCCACATATTCATGTCATTTGCTGAAACAGATCACAGGAAGTTTAAGCCACACCTATCTTCTTCTGGACTCTGAGCCCCCTGAAAAACAAAAAAATGATTGCAAGTCAATGGGTCTATAAAATCTATGTAGTCTGATCTTATATATAAGCTCCTTTTGGACTTGTCTCTGCTCCTCTGTCACCAGCACTAGAAGTTTTTTTCTTGTCGTTCAACAGGGATTTCAGCTCAGGGGTCAACCAGGGTTTATTATTGGAGAAACTCCTCCCTCTTCATTGGGACAGTGTTCTCTACACAGAAACTCACATAATCAGTTACACAGTGGGTCGGGCTGTCAAGGTCATCACCATGACTGACGCAGAATGTCTCCCAGTCTGTGGTTTGGAAGCAGTTCTTTAGGCTGTCGGTAGCTTGTTCAGACCACACTTTTACTGATTTCTTCTGTGGCAGTTGTCTAATCACCCTATAATCAACGTAATCTTCATAGGCTCTCTCTAGCTTCCTCAGACCACACTTTGAAAGACCTCTTCTGAAAAGGTTCCTTTTTTACCCTGGCTGTGTATTCTGGGATGAGATGAATGAGATTGTTATCAGAGCACAAAACAGACTGTTGATGGAGTCAGGTTCAGGTGTGACCTCCTCACACCAACCAACTAAACCAGGAATTCTGAACGGCACCTCCGATTTGATTGATTTTAACGTTTCATTTCAGAGAATAAATCCTACCTGCCTCTGATCCTTGGAGGGGTGTTTGGTGTCCTGCTGGTTGTGATCACGCTCATCCTGGTCATCATCATTAAAAGGTACTAGAATGATTAAGTACATAAAATAATAAATAAATAATTAAATAAGCTGGCTGGTTCTGCAGCAGAAAGCACATCACCTTTAGGTTTGACCGGGTTAGGGTGGAATTTTTGTAAAACAAAAATTTTTGACTTTGAAATATTATACAATTTTAATTACATCGTTTTATCTAAGTTATTTATTTCTGCGAAAGGTCCCCAATGTAGCTTTTATTAAAGGACCCTCAAAGGGTTAAGAGGCTGATTTAAGGTTTAAACACTTTTTATTTCATGTTTTAGTTTGTGGGAAGAATATAATGTGGACATTAAAAGGTTTTAATTAGATGCTGATGAGTTCTTGTTCTAACTTGACTCTGGGTTTCACTGCGGGAATTCCCTTGGTGTGACTGACTACAGAAGGGCTGGACAGGGTCTCTTCAGCCACAGTTTAACTACCAGTTTTAACCTTCCAGCTGAAAGCAGCCTCTGTGTCATCTAGCCTCTAAACCGGGGGTAGGCAATCCTGGTACTCAAGTGCCGCTATCTAGCAGGTTTTAGCTGTTTCCCTTCAACACACCTAATTCAAAAGTGGAATCACCTGTTTTCCAGGTTTTCAAGCTCTGTATAAGCCCGCTAATCATCTAATGATTTAAATCCAGTGTGTTGGAACAGGAAAACAACCAAAACATGCTGTATAGTGGCACTCAAGGACCTAACCCTGCTCCAAACTAAGATATTACTTTCCATTTTTACTGCTTAGAAACACATTTCTGCTAGAAACAGGAAACAAAAATTGTTACTTATTGGCTTTTTAGTTGTTTTGTTTTTCTGCTGGTGTTGCAGGAAGCGAGCAGCCATGAGTCGTAATGATGGTGGAGGCGTGATGGAGCAAAAGGTGAGACACAGATTCAAGATTTCAGATGCAGGAAATCCCAACATTAGGAAATTTCTGGCATGCTTGAGATAAGCAAAACTAAGAAATTGACACAATAAAATCATAATATAGATAAACGGATTAATTAGAGAAACGATGTATAAGACAGTTTATCGGAGCGGAATGGTTCAGGTGCAAACACAACACAGGATCAAGTGACTGGAACAAAGCAACTGGAGCGAGCTGATTGTTATTCATGAGTCCAATTGCAGAGGGGAAGAAACTGTTCTTGTGGCGAGAGGGTCTAGCTGTGAATTTGTAATTTTTAACATGGGAGTTGATGAGAACTTGTTTCTTTCTGGTGCCAGCCCATCACTTAGGTGTTGATTTCACTTTTAGCAGCTGGAGGTGGTCCCTTGGTCTTGACTCAAACAGCGACAATAATCATAAAAACAAAGAAGTTAATTAAATAAACTAAAAGGCAAAATCATGAAGTTTTTCTTTTTACAGTTTTACTGTTTCTTCCATCTCTTTTTTCAATGTTAATTCTCAACAATGAGCAGATTTATTTTTTTCTCTGTGATCATTTATCTCTTTGCGACTCTGCTTTTCATGCTGGACCATTTAATTAAGATGATGTGGGCATTCATTCCTTCGGAGCTGATGTTGGAACAACACACGAACCCTAGCCAGAAAACACCTTCAACCTAAGAACTCAGCTTTAACTCAATACATTTTGTAGATGACCTCTTGACCTTTTTGGCGCCAACAATGACTCATTTGCATTTTTCGTATTTGCTGTTGTCAGCCTGCTGATAGCATCTACACCAGCATACAGCCACCTGCTGCGGTCCAACCAGGGACTCAGAGGATGGAAACCAGCCAAGAGACTGAGGATGTCAGCTATGCGGCTGTCCAGTTCAGTGCCAACAAACACATCAGGTAACAGATGTTTCTGTTCTACATCTGGATGTCATCTTATAGGTTCTGATTCTGGGAAAAAAAAGAAAAGAAAAAATGAGCGCCGTTATGGCTGCTCTCGTGGTCTGCCTGTATCTGTCCTGTCTATATGTGTGTGTGTAATCTTGGTCAGGCTGTTCTGTGGAGTCAAGTTCCTATGCTCTGGATCGCTGGAGCGCTGGCAATAAAATTCTTTCAGATTCTGATTCTATAGTCTGTTAAGGTAGAAGTTATGGTAAATGGTAAATGACCTGTATTTGATATAGTGCCTTCTAGAGTCCTGGAACCCCCCAAGGTGCTTTACAACACAATCAGTCATTCACCCATTCACACACACATTCACACACTGGCGGGGATGAGCTACGATGTAGCCACAGCTGCCCTGGAGCGCACTGACAGAGGCGAGGCTGCCAAGCACTGGCGCCACCAGTCCCTCCGACCACCACCAGCAGGCAATGTGGGTTAAGTGTCTTGCCCAAGGACACAACGACAGCGGCAAACTGAGCGGGGCTCAAACCTGCAACCTTCCGATTACGGGGCGAGCATTTAATTCCTGTGCCACCGTCGCCCCAAGTTGAGATTTTAGTTCTGAAACTGAGTGGTTGATCAGCCCTATAATCAACATGTGACACCTTTGTTTTATCTGGTGTTAAGTTGCTCTTCTGGGTAAATACAGTGGGAAGCAAAAGTTTGGACAACCTTGTTAATCTTCATGATTTTCCTGAATAAATCGTTGGTTGTTACAATAAAAAATTCCAGTTAAATAAATCATATAGGAGACATACACAGTGATTTTTAAGAATTGAGATGAAGTACATAGGATTTACAGAAAGTGTGCTATAATTGATTAAATTATTCAGGTGCATAAATTTTGGCACAACAAGAAAGAAATGAACTCAATATTTAGCAGATCTGTTTGACATTAAAGCAGGTGGATCCTGATCCAATGACATAGTTTCTGATTTTTACGTTTTGCTCTTCTCTTAGAAAATTGGAGGAGACAGCCAATTCTTCCGTCTACGCCTCAGTCGTCACCAAAGGCTGAAGCCACCTTCTGGCCGGCCTTTATCGTCATTAGCATCATCAGGTTCCTGTTTTACTAATCATCAAACAAGATTTTTGCTTCAGTTTGATTTTAAAATTTCAGGCTAAAATCCTGATGTTTGTTCTGTCAATCTTGCCTGAATTACATGTATTTATAAATTTACAAAGTTTTTTCAAAGTCAAAAGTAAACCCATCTGTAGCGTCCAGCAATGGTCAGCTTAGGTACAGCCTGACCTTTCACCATCTATTCAACATCTGGTCAGAAAGGAGACACAGCATTGCATGTGTTCCTTTGAAATGAGTCTGCCTTCACACCAGCTGGGATTCACAGACCCTGCAATAACTTTCTTTCCCAAGTTCTCACCTGTCTGCCTTCAGAAGAAAGAACTCCAACTCGGATCAGTTGCTAAATTCAAGAATGATTTACTAAATCAATATTAACTTCTTCCATGGCTTATAATCTAGATAATCATTAAATAAACGCTTGTTTGTTGCTACTTACAATCATTATATTGTAGTGAAATGTTTCATTGATCTGTGCTCAATAACTGAAGGGAAATGAGTGTTATGCTATGTCTACCAAGACTGCCATGTGTTCAACATGTTTAGACGACAGGTCCTCACACCTGCACTCACACACAACAAGTACGGCTAAGTTGAACCCTGACACACATAGTATAACCCAGTCAGAGCATCCTGTATCAAGAAGGCGTGTTTCTGAGTTGTCTTGGTAACATCTCTCAAACTTGTCAGCCTCTGATTGGTTGTGCAAATGATAACAGCCAACCCTTAAAACTAGATCATTCTGAGAGATTCGTCAGTTCTAGAGAATCGCTCAGACCGGCCATCTGCAGCGAAACCTCTTTAACCCTCAAAGATTTTGACACGTCGTCAAAACCTTTTTGCACCTGCAAAGCTGATGAGCAAACAGTTCCTGCATCAACAAAGCTGATATTGTTAGACTCCTTAAGAGTCCGTCAGACGCACGGTTCCATCCAGCTGTTGTGACCCGAGACATTTCTGGACTGAAGAGTCGGTACCACGGTATTCTACAGCCTTCCGGTGCCAGCAGTCAGTCGACCCCTGTGACTTTTGAATCCACCAAGAGGGTCTCTCTGAAACGGGTGAAGTAGACATGACAGATTGCGTCTGAATGTTCTTCTGATGATAACAACTTTATAGTTTAGAGCAAACCAAATTCTTTTCACCAGAACTCAGCTTATTTTGATAAGGAAGCTCTGCCTGACATTTCATTCACACATAGGTTCCTTCCTCACGTTTAGCTCCATCCAATCACAGTAAATGCTTAGTTAATTAGTCATGTTTTAAATTGTTTGTAAAATAAATTCTTGCTTTTATAAACTTGACTCTTTCTTGAAGTAACACGAAGTGTGGTTGATCACTGAAAAAGCAAAGAACCTAGATCGTGTGAATTAAATCCTAGAATCTTCTGATTAATTACAATTATAACCTAGCAGGTTAATATTTTATATTTATATAGAATATTACATCTTCCTGGTTATAACAAATAAAATCATGAAATTTGCCTTCACTGCACAGCTGTAAGTCAGTAAGTCAGGATCTGCACAGATCTGGGAAGTTAAAATTGAACAAGCCAGAAACCCTTTTGGGAAGGTGAGTTATTATTTTTAATACTTTTCCTTTGACATGCTCATAAATGATCCATGTTGTATTTTAGAATGTTTGGAGCGCTTTTGGAAATTACGGTGCTTAATTATTTAAAACTTCCTCCTTCAAGTTACAGCTTATTTTGCTGTTTTTAATTGGTTATTTAAAATGTTTTGTGTTGGCATGTAAATAAACATGCATTTTGTGTGTGTGTGTGTGTGTGTGTGTGTGTGTGTGTGTGTGTGTGTGTGTGTGTGTGTGTGTGTGTGTGTGTGTGTGTGTGTGTGTGTGTGTGTGTGTGTGTGTGTGTGTGTGTGTGTGTGTGTGTGTGTGTGTGTGTGTGCGCGCGCGCGCGCGCGCGCGCATTGTTTTTATTTCCCATCAGGAGGGATCAGACGTGTAAAATGTTTTGAGTTGGGCTTTAACAGTTTCAGAATTTGTTATGTCTCAAAGTGAAATTGCCCAAGAAATGTTTGTAATCCATTTACCAAAATAGCTGCAAGAAGTGTCACCGTTTCAACTCTTGAGGCACCAAAACAGGAAGTAGACTGTAATACAAATGGCTAAAGATGGTTCTGCTTTTGATGTGACTTTGCAAAAACTCCACTAGAGTTGTAAAATGTTTGGCCTAACAGTTTTATTTAGGTTTTACTGATTCCTACATTAAGTGAGGGTTCTAAGAACTTCTAAAGTTCCTATAATGAAACTGACAGGAAACTTTAAACAATAATAACAATTTTACTTTGGATTTTTTTCAGCTTAAAGTGAAATGAGTAAATTTGTAGTTTTTGTTCAAGCAGATAAAACTGAATACAAATATAAACTGTGACGGTAAAAACTGTTTGAATGGTTCATGGTTGTTTTGTTTCTAAATCCCAGATTAGTCCAGCAATCCAAAAAGATCTAGAAATTTCTCTTAAGATGTGGTTATTTGTATATTTATAACTACTGTACATTAAATGACATTTGTCTCAACACTGATTCAGGTAAAGCACATGTCCTGATGATGCTTGACATCCGTGTAGCTTTTGATACTGTGGACCACAACATCCTTCTGGACAGACTCAAAAACTGGGTGGTACTATTGGGCACAGTGCTTGGCTGGTCGCAATCCCATCTCAAAGACAGGGGCTTTGTTGTCTCTATTACGGATTACCAATCAAAGCGTATCACCATGTGGGGTCCTTCAAGGCTCAATTCAAGGACCACTACTCTTTAATCTATGCTCCCCCTGGGTCAGGTCATACTTAATAACAACATGCCTTTCATAGCTATGCTGATGACACCCAGATCTACCTAGCCCTATCACCTAGTGACTGTCATCCGCTGGACTCACTCTGTCAGTGCCTAGAACAAGTAAACAGCTGAATGTAGTCAAACCTTCTTCAGCTGGACTCCAGGGGAATAAAGACAAAGACCCAGATTAGACATCTAGGTGTTATTATTGACTCCGACTTGAGCTTCCCTGGACCTATTAAGGCTATAACTAAATCAGCGTTTTATCACCTTCATCAAATATCAAGTGTCAGAGGTCTCATGTCCAGACCAGACTTAGAGAAACTTATTCATGCTTTTATTTCTAGTTGGTTGGACTATTGCAATGGTCTCCTAACTGGTCTTCCCAAATAAGCTGTGAAGCAACTGCAGCTTGTTCAGAATGCTGCTGCTAGAGTCTTAATAAGAACTAAGAGAATGGAGCACATCACTCCTGTTCTTAGATCCCTACACTGTTTACCAATAAACCACAGACTAGATTTCAAAGTGCTCCCACTAGTTTTAAATCACTCAATGGCATGGAACCAAAATACATGTCTGATCTCATTCACACCCAATAGGGCTCTGAGCTCTCTTGGAAACAATCAGCTGGTACAATCTTGGATCAGATCAAAACATGGTGGGTATGCATTTAGTTACTATGCTGCTCACATATGGAATCAGCTTCCCCACTGGCCAAAACAGATGCCCCCAACACCTTGGCTGCACCTAGAAATCCTGTCCATAAAGGTTATGAACAGAATCGGTGACAAAGGGCAGCCTTGGCGGAGTCCAACTCTCACTGGGAACGAGCCTGACTTACTGCCGGCAATGCGGACCAAGCTCTGACACCGGTCATACAGGGACCTAACAGCTCATATCAGAGGGCTTGGTACCCCATACTCCCGGAGTACCCCTCACAGGGCCCCCCGAGGGACGCGGTCAAACACTTTCTCCAAATCCACAAAACACTTGTAGATTGGTCTAAGAGTATAGAGCTGGTCCAGTGTTCCACGACCAGGACGAAAACCACGTTGCTCCTCCTGAGTCTGAGGTTCAACAATCCGACGGACCCTCCTCTCCAGAACCCCTGAATAGACCTTACCAGGAAGGCTCAGGAGCGTGTAGCTGGAACACACCCAGCAGTCTCCCTTTTTAAATAAGGGGACCACCACCCCGGTCTGCCAGGCCAGTGGCACTGCCCCCGATGTCCACGCAATATTGCAGAGCCGCGTCAGCCAACACAGCCCCACAACATCCAGAGCCTTAAGGAACTCCGGGCGGATCTCATCCACCCCTGGAGCCTTGCCACAGAGGAGATTTTTAACCATCCCAGTGACCTCAGCACCAGAGATTTGAGAGCCCAACTCAGTCCCCAGACTCTGCTTCCTCACTGGAAGACGTGTCGGTGGGATTGAGGAGGTCTTCGAAGTATTCTGCCCACGATCCACAATGTCCTGAATAGAGGTCAGCAGCACACCGTCCCCACTATAAATGGTGTTGGTAGCGCACTGACACAGACCCCCCCCCACCCCCCACCCCCACCCCCCCGAGGCGCTGGATGGTGGACCAGAATCTCCTCGAAGCCGCACGGAAGTCTTGCTCCATGGTCTCACTGAACTCCTCCTACGCCTGGGTTTTTGCCTCGGCGACCACCTGAGCCGCATTCCGCTTGGACTGCCGATACCCGTCAGCTGCCTCTGGAGTCCCACAGGCCAAAAAGACCTGATAGGACTCTTTCTTCATCTTGACAGCATCTCTAACCGTCAATGTCCTCCAGCGGATTCGGGGGTTGCCACCACGACAGGCACCGACGATCCCGCGACCACAGCTCCGGTCGGCCGCCTCAACAATGGAGGCACGGAACAGTGTCCATTCAGACTCAATGTCCCCCAACTCCCCCAGAAGATTTTGGAATTGAAGCTCCTTCTGACAGAAGACTCTGCCAGACGTTCCCAGCAGACCCTTGCGATACGTTTGGGCCTGCCTGGTCTGACCGGCATACTCCCCCACCATCTGAGCCAACTCATCACCAGGTAGTGGTCAGTTGACAGCTCTGCCCTTCTCTTCACCCGAGTGCCCAAGACATGCGGCCGCACGTCAGATAAAAAACAACAAAGTTGATCATCGAGCTGCGGCCTAATGTATCCTGGTGCCAAGAGCACCATATGGACACCTTTGTCTGAACATGGTGTTCATTATGGACAATCCATGACTAGCACAGAAGTCCAATAACAAAACACTGCTTTATTTCAGATCGGGGGGCCGTTCCTTCCAATCACACCTCTCCAGGTCTCACTGTCGTTGCCCATGTGAGCGTTACAGTCCCCCAGCAGAACGAGGGAGTCACCGGAAGGAGTGCTTTCCAGCACCCCCTCCAACGTCTCCAAAAAGGGTGGGTAGTCTGAACTGTACGTAGTTTGGTGCATAAGCACAGACCACAGTCAGATCCCGTCCCCCTACACGTAGGCGGAGGGAGGCTACCCTCTCATTCACCAGGGTAAACCCCAACGTACAGGCACCAAGATGTGGGGCAACTAGTATGCCAGCCCACCCCTGCTTGGCGCCTCTCAGTGGGAGCAACTTTGAAATGTGCTCTGTAAATAAAGCTGCATAGCCTTGTCTATACAACATGTACAGTTATACAACATTTTGTTTAATTTTATATTTAATGAAATTATTATTTAGGGTTATGGGTGTTTTATGAAAACATTAATAAAATAAAATCACATATGTACATATTATTTCAATATAATTTATTGGAATTAATTTACAAAATATTTACTTATTTTGTATTTTGTTATTATAATATTTTAAACTAATTTTTCGTATATTTTTTTCTTATTTTTTCTTATGTTTTTGTGAAGTGCCTTGTGGTTTTTATTTTGATAGGAGCTGTACAAAAAAATAGTTTATTCATATTTTTTTCTTCTGCTCTCGTGCATTTGGGTTCGAACCAAACCTCGAAATTCATAGGCTTTTGGATATTTTATTTGTGCTATCGTTGTTACATAAAAGGGAAATCTAGTTACATGTTTTAACTCCCCTAGGGGTCTGTTTTTTTTTCTTATTGCCTTCCCTCGCAATACGAAAACATATTTTCTTCTCTGTACGTACTATCTTTGTCATATTTAAAATATACATTTTATTTTATAGAAGTGAGCTTTATTTTGGTGGTCAACAGTAGAGGAAAAGGTTTCTTTTCCGGTGCATATAGAGGTCATCCTCCAGGTTGAAGATGGCGGCGCCCGATGAGTTGTTTTGCTGGGAAGGAGACTGGGGTTTACCGTCCGTCAGTACCGACTGTCTCGTGGTTCTGGTGAGTGTCCGTTAGAACCAAGACTGTGTCGGTTCCCCGCCTGTTTATCCCGCTGTGTCTCCCCGGTAAAACGCGGATGAAAGCGTCACGAGGAGCACGCTAACAGACCCTTTAAAGGGGGCTTCATTGTAACCGTTTAAAATAAAAAACAGCTTTAACATTATAGAACAAACGCAAAGAGGGTGTAACTGCGTCCAGTCCTGAACAAATAACGAGACTCACACCGTGAATATCAACCATATTTATATGTCGATGATATCAACCGGTAAACATGGATGGAGCGTTTCGTCAAGTCACGTGGTGGTCCAGGTTACGGATCCTGAACTCGGGTCAGATTACAGAACGAAGTTATTCGTGATGCTATAATATCTATTCGTGTGGATGGTTTAACCCTATAGAAAGAGAGTTGCGACACGCTTTGAACTCGCCGACTTGCGGTCACGTGGTTCAGTATGGAGCTAGGATTGGGACAATATTCAGCATAACTTGTACCAAGTTTTGTAACTTCGAACATGTTTCATCACATGTAACTTTGGCTTCGTAACTTGTAACTTTGGATTCGTAACTTGTAACTTTAGTTTTCTAACTTGTAATTCTCAATTCATGCTTGTATTTCTTGTTTTGTAACAGAAACATTGTATTTTGTACATGTATTTTTTATTTTGTAAAATCAAACTTATTTTGTACATTTACTAGTCATTTTGTAACATCAAATGGTAGGGCTGCAACAAACGATTATTTGGATAATCGATGAATCGGATGGGGTCTCGACACGATTAATCGATTAATCGGATTACATGGGGAAATTTTTAAAAACTGCTTGGGAAACGTTATTTCTCTCCTTCCTTCACTTTATTTAACACAACATTATTAGAAAACAGTTCAATAGCAGAAAAACAACATGCCATCACCTAAATTGTCTTATAAGGTGTATAGACAGAGACCCTAAGCTACACCTATCTGTGACCTAAAATGCTTGGTCCAATTAAACAGCTTAAGGGCAATTCTCATCTGTTTTGTTTGATCTCATCTGTAGACATTTATTATAACTGGGGATGTCAAACAACTAATTTTTAAATGTAATTAAACATAGGCTGTGAATTAATCAAAATTTATCACTATTTCCAAAAATGACTGAAAAAATAAGTTGTCCCACACTCCATGGAAACTTTCAGAGAATCCACAAATAGTGGCTTTCAAATGGTTTTGTTACTTTTTGCAAGTTTAGAAAAGAAGCAGATGAGACAGCATGTCTGATAATTTAGTTTTTCATCTGATAATATTAGAAAATGTCAGTAATGCCTGAGGGGCTTTTATAAACACTGTATAACTAACACTACTGGAGAGGGTATGAATTACACAGAGGCTTCTGGGGAGCCCAGTTATGGGGGGGGGGGGGGGCATTTTGCCTTGGCCCCCAAAATGTCTTGAAACGGCCCTGGGTGTGTGACTGAGTGTTGAAGGTGATCTGAATAGTATCAAATTTATAAATATTACATGTGTGTAACTTATTGTTTTATAGGTAAAAATGTGTAGTGGACATAAATCTACCTACATTTTACTTTTCAACACTTTGTTTTGTTTTCTTGTTTTTATTGAACTATTTTCCTGTCCTGTCTGTCTCTCATCTTCCTGCATCTCCTCTAAACTCTCCAGAAAAACTGCTGCCTGGATTCTTACTTTTTCACCTCATCAGTTACTTCTGTGCAGATCAAAGGGATCTCCTGACCGCAAAGCGCAGAGCGCGTTTTCGATGCTGCGTGAGGTGAAATCACCGCAGCACAGGTGATGAGCTCCGCAGTGGCAGAGCGCTGCAGGCACAAATAAGACAGAAAATAGAGAACATGTGCAGACATGAACGATCGTGTGCTAATTATAGTTTTTTGGTTGCGCCACTTTGAGAATGGACCATGCGCTGGAAGCAGCTGCCTGGATCGCTGCGCAGCAACGCGCTGTGCCGCTCTCTGCTCAAAAGAGTCCAAAAATGATATAATATAGAAAACTTTTTTCCGGCTCCCCGGATGTGTAGGATATACAGCTCCCCCATAATTCGATCCCTGCTCCTGGATGAAAAGCCGGACATTTTCATCAATACAAGAACCCGGAGTCCGGACGCGCCGGACAGAGAGTGAAAAGTGGACATGTCCAGGGAAAACGGAACGTACGGTCATAGGCGTCATTTTAACCGGGGACGCCGGGGACATGTCCCCGGCAAAATTTGTGATTGGCAGCTGTGTCCCCCCCACTTTCAAAAAAGCCTGCTGATGAGGATTTTTGTTTTACCAGCTCAGATCTTATACCAGGGGTCGGCAACCTGTTCCCATCAAAGAGCCATTATTACCCGTTTCCCACAGTAAAGAAAACACTGGGAGCCGCATTGTTGTGGGCGGGGCCTGGCCTCAGACAGCAGAGAGCTGCTCACAACCAGGTGACAGCAGCCGGTACCGGTCGCTCGCATGGGCATCGCACCCGTGGGGGATGCAACACCCACACTTTTCCAGCTGTTTTGCTCACCTCCACACCATTCTGGTTTCTTTACGTCGCACTCACTCTGTTTGCCTCATCTCCTTCTTCACCTCCCGCTTCTGACAGCCGATGTCGGGTTTCCAGGAGAGCAGGAGAGGGAGGGACGGAAGAGCTCGACTGAATTCACAATTTTACATCTTGACATTAGCTGTACAAAGTCTAGGGCTGCAACTAACGATTATTTTCATAATCGATTAATCTGTCGATTATTTTTTTCGATTAATCGATTAATCGGTTTGTTATTGTTTAGCTATTTAACCTATACAAGTGATGAATACATTTCAGTTAAGAAAAAGAAAAACATAAGAGAATTGTGCAGTTGACTGCAATCTATTTTATTGCACATGACCACAGTCAGCAGTGTAAAATGAGCTAAACAGTGCAAAATATCAGTCCAGAATAATTTTTTGGCATCAAAATATAAGAGGTAAATTCCATAAAAAATAATGTAGAATCTGGAATAGAGTTTGTAAGTGGTATGCATTGCTGGGGGTGAGTGTCTTGTTCCCCATGTAGTTGTCCATCGTTGCTTGTTTTTTTCTGCATAAGAAACACAAATAAACTGAATTAAGTACACATATAAAATAAAGCAGCACACACACTACAACACTAAATCAATATTACATTATTTGAATTAATTAACAATATACAGTGATCATTTATTTTGACAAAAATGTGTTGTGAGGCGTTTTACAGCGTTAGATAGTAAAACAGCCTTTTAATAGTTAAAAAAAGGACTTTCTGAATTTCTCCTGTATTTAAAAATTGAAAGCGTACAACTATGCCGCGTTATATTCACCTGGACACAGCTCGTCTGTATATTTTTCTCCGCGGAGTTGTCCTTTTTTGAATGAGGAACACAGTTATGGGTTTGTGCCGTTTTTCTCTTAACGAGAACATTCTTATAAACAGACGTGCTAAATTTGGCAAGCGCATGATTCACAACACGGAGGAGATTCACGATTGCATCTAGTCAATCAGAAGTAGAACACCGTAAACTGACGCGGCAAAAAAAAAAAACATGTTTAACATCCACTATAACGAACTCAGCTAACACTAAGTCCCAAATGTGATCTGCGTTAGCTTGTTTATTTTCTGTTACTTACCGGACATTCCTCTGCTGCATCAGCCCCCACGTTTTCGTCTCAAATGTTCACTTAGGGACGTCGTGCTTCCGTCGTGCCATGGTTTTTGCATATTTTGTATGTCACCGGTCTTTTCAAGGCATCTAGTGAAGTGCTCCCATACTCGTGAGGTTTTTGTCCGGGGTTTCTCTTGTTTTGTCGCTTCTATTTTTCTTCCGTATTTGTTGTTGATCCGCCATCTCTCACAGCAAGATGCGCGTCAGTAACGTGATACGTCATGAAAACCGAGGGCACTTATTGGCTAATTTCTTCTTCTACGGCCCCACTGGTAGATCAGTGGCTCATTACTGCCACACACTGGCGGCAAATTTAACAGATTGTAACCGATGTCAGATTGTGGTAAAAAATAGACTTTATGCGGTACAATATGATTATTAAACAACTAATCGATGACTAAAAAAGTTGTTAACTATTTTAATAATCGATTATAATCGATTAAATCGATTAGTTGTTTCAGCTCTAACAAAGTCTGAGTTTGAGTTAGGGTGGGCCACGGTAATTCTGGACGGACCTTAATAGGCAGTGACTTAAGTGCAGCAGGCAGGACGCGCTAGAAAATTTTGTTTAAAAAGACGTCATAAATGTGTTCCCCCGTCATTTTTATTTCTAAAATATGAAGTAAAAACTCCCAATTTAATTTTCATTCATTTGTCATTAATATGTAGTCTACACCCGTGCATTAAGTGGACCATCTTCCAGTAAAAGCAAAGCATCCAGCCCACCTCTCCAAATGCGTAAAATGTGCATCAGCCGCTAGTTAGGCGCGTCGCGTGCACCGTCAGCTACGTCAGCCCAGACAAGAGCAGAGCAACTAGAGACAGAATAGAGGATAATTCTGTCTGGATGTGGATGGAGATTACATTTTACAGCAGCCTGATCATCATTTAAATACGTAAACCATCACCTGTCTTCTAGTCCACGCTATCAGCATTATTTTAATTGGTGTGTGTGTGTGTGTGTGTGTGTGTGTGTGTGTGTGTGTGTGTGTGTGTGTGTGTGTGTGTGGTGGGGGGGGGGGTGCGTGTGTGTGTGTGTGTGTGTTTGTGTTTTCCACATCAAACACTGGTCTAACCAACCAGAGCAGCGTGTCCAGTAACATATTAATGTTACAATTAAACAGTTTCACTTCATGTAGGCTAGGAACGTTTCACCTGCCGTGGCCCGACCGCTTCTGCTCCACATAAACTTTGTGCGTGATCAAATGTCTACAGGTGCTTTCTGAGCTGAAGAGGCTATTCTGCCTCAGACTGGATGCGTCATGCGTCTCCATATTAGAGACGGGAACAAGCTCTGTTCAGCCAAAGTTTCATAATTTCATAAAAAGAACATTTTTCCAAGTGACACGTCCCTCAGAGAGACCGGGTTTCCAGACCGTTTCAGTGGGAGGAAATCTTATCGCATGCACCGTGGTTCTGCGCTGCGCTGCAAACCCCTCTACAGATCTTCAGCTCACTGTCCACCGTGGGTGCTCCGAGCCGCGCTGAACACAGTGTCCAGTATAAAGCTCTGATGTTCTGATGGGAATCAAGTTACCTCTGCGATGTGCGTAACGATTAAAATGTCAGCTCATCCATGCGCATCAGTGTGCGTCGTGGTAATTCTTTCAAAACAACCAACATCCTTGAGTTTATCCGTCAAAATAAACAGTCTAATGGAAATATCTGTAACCTGCCATTTAACTGTTTTGTCTTCTTGTGAAGATTGTTGCAAACAGAAACAACTAAACTTGATTAACCCCAGAGCCACGCGCACTGCGCTGTACTCCTGACTGTAAATGAGGGGGAAATTATTTAATCGGATCCTTTTCTTTTCAACATGGTGTAATGTAAAGTTTCATTCAGTACAAACTTTAGTTACAGCAATCTAACGAGACAGAGCCTGGATTTGTATTCTGAACAGTTTAAACATGTTTAAAACGGAGACATGCGTGACGCGTCTAAATTTCACTCCTGCTCCGCTATAATGGAAATTAAACTAACAAGATGAATAACATGAACTTATTTTAGGCACAGACAACATCCCCCACACTTTTGAAAATCTTGCAACGCGCCTGGTCGCTCGTGTACGTCAAAGTTATCTTTCATAAGACGATAATCAATAAAACGATTTATATAACATGGATCCAGAAGTTGTAGCCCGTCTCTGCCTTCAATTTTTGGTATTTTTCAGCCTGTTGGTGGTTTTACTGAGCAGGTGCCACTTTTGTCATACGTTTCTTTTTAAAACATGTTTAGACTGTTCAGAATACAAATCCAGGCTGTCAGAACCAGAGCGCATGTGAGAGGGTTCCTCCCACTGAAGCGAGTGTTTTCCAAACCCTGTCTCTCAGAGAGACTTTTCACTTAGAAAATGTTCCTGATTATGAAACTTTGGCTGAATAGCGCTTGTTCCTGTCTCCAATGTGGCGACACATCCAGGAGCCATCTGAGGAGAATCCCAGAATCTGACATCCTCCAGCTCAGGAAGCGCCTATGATTACGCACAAGCGTGAGCCATCAACCCGGTCTCACAGTAAGACCGGGTTGGAACTGTTCAGGTTTACGCAGACAATCTTTACATAGAATTAGCTTACAGATGTAAAATTAATGCAGTAAAATATAAAGCTTTTTATTTAAATATCCATTCATTATTTTACAAGCACAGAGAGCCGCATCAGATAGATGGAAGAGCCACATGCGGCTCCAGAGCCGCCGACCCCTGTGCTAGCCTATATTGTCCCCAGCAATTTTTAAACCCCACTCAAGTGTATGGTTATTGTCCCCAGCAATTCTGAAAACAAACTGACGCCCTTGCGTACGGTCACCATAGTCCTCATAAAGCGGGAAATTATAGATACAGTATTTTGCTCGTGCCCTGGGCCCTTTAGAGTTCGTGGGCCCTGGGCAATTGCCCAGTTAATCCGGCCTTGGGCGGAACCGGTTTGCAGCAGCGCGAGTCCCCCCCCGCTCATCTAATAAGCGTCGCGCTCACGACTAGACTCTTTTTTTTTTACGATCTTAGGGCATGTCTAGCCTGTGTAATAATCCGGAACTTGGATGAATCACTTTTGAAAAGTTTTTAATTTACCCGGACACAGAGTTCTCTCCTTCCTCGCTGATGATCCCGACATGCTTGCGTTTAAGACGCTGCATCATCCCGTGCCATGCTAAGTCTGACCTAAACGTTGCAGGTAACGCATGTCTTCACCTGATTTAACTGAAAATGCTCCCAAACTTAAAAAGCTTTTACTTTTTTGACTCTCGCTGCTTCTGCCATGTTCCTCTTCCAAACAACTGCCGGCTCTCCCTCGCGCTGATCTGTCTGCGCGCAACGGCGGGCGGGAAGGGGGGGCGCTTTTGGAAGAGTTGTACGACACAACGAATCGATGACTCAATTCGTTGCCAACGCTTTTAGTAACGATTTTCATCGAATTTATCGATTCGTTGTTGCAGCCCTATCAAATGGTAAATGGCCTGTATTTGATATAGCGCCTTCTAAAGTCCTGGAACCCCCCAAGGCGCTTTACAACACAATCAGTCATTCACCCATTCGCACACACATTCACACACTGGTGGGGATGAGCTACAATGTAGCCACAGCTGCCCTGGGGCGCACTGACAGAGGCGAGGCTGCCGAGCACTGGCGCCACCGGTCCCTCTGACCACCACCAGCAGGCAACGTGGGTTAAGTGTCTTGCCCAAGGACACAGCGACAGACTGAGCGGGGCTCGAACCTGCAACCTTCCGCTTACGGGGCGAGCACTTAACTCCTGTGCCACCGTCGCCCCATTCACATTCAAACATTCATTCAGAAACATGAAACTTTCGTTTTGTAACTAGCAGACTTCCAAATTGAAAAAAATCAAAGTACAAGTTTCAAATCAAAACTCTCAAAACACACATTTCATTCTACAGGTACAATCCTCAAATCTACAGTGTTACAGATCTTTTTGTCTCGATTCTAGCGTCAGTTGGAGGAACTTGGGTGGAACCAATGAGAGCACGAGTCTTAACCACCAATCACGTTTCTCGAATTCCTGTCCAATCATTGGGAGAGGAGGGCAGGGTTCTGTCAGAGCTGTAGAAAGAGAGATTTACTACACTCTTTGAGCTCGCCAACTCACATTCACGTGGTTCTTGGGGCTCTCAGTTCCAAACATCCCACAGCGCCGTAAGTCAGTTTGAATGGCGTATGGTGGTACAAATCACAAAAATTTAATATAATCATATTTCCCCTGGCAATTTGTGGTAATTATTGAATAATATTATATATTATATATATATTATTTCCTAACTCCTTCACAAAGTAGCCAATTTATATTTTTCGGAGTATTTGTAGGAAGACAAACACCCTTGACTGTTCTACATTACAGGAACACGACAGTCCTAACACACTGTAGAACACATTTAGACCACATACATTAGCAACAGCAATATATTTGATGTAGTAATGCAACACACTGCTCTAATATAAGCATATTTAATAACTTTAAGTCCTACAAGAAACCCTAAACTCGAGTTGTAATATCCATTTAAAGTGTTTATTGAAAGCTAGAATTCTGCTCCAGCTTACCTTGAAGAAAATAAGTAGCTATTTATGCTTTGAATGATGATCTATTATGTTCAGTAGAATACATTTTACAATCATTACTTTATATTTTTATGTGAAGACAGTAAATGCATCTATAACCCAGTTTATCTGGCTTCGGTGTTAACTGAAAAATATTAAATAATTACTTGTCTTCACAACCACATTTTCTTTATTATTTGTCTCTCCATTTGTGCTTCCATTTCTGATGCATGTTCGTGTTGATACAGCATTCTGCAACGTATTGTACAAAAAATCCCAAATAAAACTAATAATGTAAAAAGTTTATAACCTATTTCAAACTGTGGGTAATATTTTTAAAACGTTGACTCAAACAAACTGGAATAAACCCGTCTACAGCTCGTCAAGCTTGTCTAAACCCCTCCTGCTCACAATCAGCAACCTGCACACAATTAGCTCATTAAAGGTTATCTAGCTAAAACTGGCAACAGACAGTCAGGTCCATAAATATTGGGACATTGACACAATGCTAACATTTTTGGCTCTATACACCACCACAATAGATATCAAGTGAAACAAACAAGATTTGCTTTAACTGCAGACTGTCAGCTTTTATTTGAGGGTATTTACATCCAAATCAGGTGAACGGTGTAGGAATTACAACAGTTTGCATATGTGCTTCCCACTTGTTAAGGGACCAAAAGTAATGGGACAATTGGCTTCTCAGCTGTTCCATGGCCAGGTGTGCGTTATTCCCTCATTATCCCAATTACAATGAGCAGATAAAAGCTCCAGAGTTCATTTCAAGTGTGCTATTTGCATTTGGAATCTGTTGCTGTCAACTGTCAAGATGAGATCCAAAGAGCTGTCACTATCGGTGAAGCAAGCCATCATTAGGCTGAAAAAACAAAAGAAACCTCTCAGAGAGATAGCAAAAACATTTGGCATGGCCAAAACAACACTTTGGAACATTCTCAAAAAGAAGGAATGCACCGGTGAGCTCAGCAACACCAAAAGACCCGGAAGACCACACAAAACAACTGTGGTGGATGACCAAAGAATCCTTTCCCTGGTGAAGAAAGCACCCTCACAACAGTTGGCCAGATCAAGAACGCTCTCCAGGAGGTAGGTGTATCTGTGTCAAAGTCAACAATCAAGAGAAGACTCCACCAGTGTGAATACAGAGGGTTCACCACAAGATGTAAACCATTGGTGAGCCCCAAAAACAGGAAGGCCAGATTACAGTTTGCCAAACAACATCTAAAAAAGCCTTCACAGTTCTGGAGCAACATCCTATGGGCAGATGAGACCAAGATCAACTTGTACCAGAGTGATGGGAAGAGAAGTGTATGGAGATGGAAAGGAACTGCTCATGATCCTAAACATACCACCTCATCAGTGAACTTGGTGCTGGAAGTGTCATGGCGTGGGCATGTATGGCTGCCAGTGGAACTGGTTCTCTTGTATTTTTTGATGATGTGACTGCTGAGAAAAGCAGCACGATGAA